AGGGAAATATGTGGGGTGGATGGTGGGCGATTTCAGAGGAATTTGCGAAAATTCAGCTGAATGTGCAAAATTTCGGACATCTAACGGTGGTCCATAGATGAGTCCAATAAGAAAATTATCGCGAAATTTCGTCGCAATCGATATGATTGCGTCTCAAGCAAGGAATAATTGTAGGACATAATTAAGGAATTTTCCATTGACAGTTGATGGTATCTTCCGAACGATAAGTGAGACAGCGCCATTTTGTTTTGTAATTCCACTAATTCGGATAGTACGTAGTAACGTTCACGTTCGCTTTTTTTGTATGTACACATGTGCACCTCGCTGGTTGTGAGTCTGCGTAGTCGACGTCACTGTCTGGGTGGAAGAGCATCAGATGTTTTCTCCTTCTGGTAATGGGGTGGATATGTTGGTCGACACTCTTGTGTTGCTCGCTTCAATATTGGAGGCAAATTGTGTGTTATTTTTTTTCTTCTCTCTCTTGTGTCTGTTATTTCTATATGGAGTTTTGTATTCTTTGTTGACGATCTCGATGCTTCTGCGAGCGTGGAGAATGCTAATGGATTTGAACATGACGGAGAAGAAAGTTGAAGAGAATTATTGATTTCGTAATGCGAATTCCTCAGTTTTACATGGGGGGCATGAACTGAACGGTGTGTGATTCAAATTGAACTCACAAACTATGCTAGTTCTGCGACATCAACTTTTACCAATTTTATTAGTGGAATAGTAATACTGTCTAAAAATGGTTACACCTAGTATCGCCCTATCAGCAGTAGATTTGCCTTAATTTTAAATTAAAGATTATAAGTTGTAATAAATTAGATAGCAGTTTCTTAACCCTCTCCTTCCAATGACAGGTGATTCACAACTTTTCGGTCCGTCTCATGTTTGTCAATCTACCATTAAATAGTCAGTGCAGTACTCATAGCGAATTTGTTTATTATCGGGGTTGGAACCAGATCACACCCAGTGTATAACTGATCTTTTTGCCAGTGCGATGCGAACCTGAACCTGAGGCAGGTTTTAAAAACAAACGATCAAACTAACGTTTGTCAGAAAACAAGCAGAGCCGATCTTGATACTCGATCCAGGTTGGAACTGAACAATAAACAAATGGGGTGAAAGGGGTGTAAGTAACTTTGATCGACTTTCTCTTTTGATAGCCACAGCTTTATAAACAGATGTTTCGCTATTTCTGTCACATTGTTTGATAAAGGAGGTTCTCATCTAGCATCCAGGCACACGAATGAAGGAATGTGTTTGCAGCTGAATTATTAACGAAAGAGAAAGTCGATGAAGAGAATCGATCAAAGTCACTTACATCCCTTTCCTTCTAATCTATATGAGTCAACTGAGTAACTATTGTAAAATAATTAGTATACTATTGATTTTAAACAAAACTGTTTTTTTTTTATGGAATCGATAATTTTAGGCTGTATGGAACATCTTTTGTGCTAGCACTTCTTTCAAACATTCTATTTTGCATCTCAAAACAACCAAAATTATTCTGTTAAAACGGAAACTTTTTTTTAGATCAAATTGTTTTGAAGATTAGTTCCAGTAATTTACAAAAGATAATGGATAAATCAAAATAAGGGATTAATGGTAGATAATGACGCTAAGGAAGGCATATTGAAAACAAAAATAAAAGATTAAGGAGCAACTGAAGATAAGAAGCAAACAGCGTTCAAGAGCAAATGCTTTTATTATATGTAGGTAGATATAATTACCGTGAAAGTCGAAAGAACTCCTCAAACGCTAAAGCTTTTAATCAACCTCAAAGCTTGAGGATGAATATTAAGAATAAAATGGTGTACATATACAACAAGTACAGCAAGGTGGCAACAAATGTTATGCCTTCAAAACCATTCATACTTTCCCGCAATGGACAGTTAAAAATGATTTAGTTGTTTTCGAATAAACGAGCACAATTTGCGTGAATCATGCTTTACTATCACGTTAGCTAGAAAACTCTATCTATTTTCCGCAACGCGGTGCAACATGTACCAAGCTTAATCATAGAGTAAAAGGAGGAGCTGTCAAATTATTACCAGAGCCAGTAATGCCACATATACCGATTTATCTGTAATCATACAGATTTTTTTCAATATATTTATACAGATATCTGTATATACAGATAACAGATTTTTGAAAAATGTACAGATTTTTCAAATCAAAAGAATGTATTTTATAATCATTTTTTATGTGTAATAATAATGATAAATAATCATTTTTTTTTTCCTTTTAAGTAATTGAATTCAATCTGAGCATCAAACCTTAGTCGTACTTTTTACTAAATAAATATTAATATTTTAGCTTCCAATGGACTTGGAATCTTTCGAATGGACCTCTGATGTTCAGATGTTCTGATTTCTCATTGGAAAGGATATTAGTTGCACTTTCTATTTGTTCAAAGGTACAAAGGTTAATTAAATATATTTTTTGTCAAATCGATAAACAAGCCATTTTAGAAAACCAACAAAGTGGTTGATTACAGTTTCTGAGTCGAAGAATCAACTGGATATTTTTATATTGGAAAAGTGTAATTACAGAAATAAAGATTATTGCATGCCATTCGACTAAACTTCTAGTAAAAGTTCTATGTTATAATGTCCAGGTATAGGTTTTCGTAATCTCAGACATGAAAAAATAATTCTTGGGAATTGTAACAGTTACTTCATTAAGCTAATTTTCAGCCGTAAACAGATAAGTCCAGTCTCTCATAACTGATACTGAATGTTTTGTATTTTCAGACTGTAGAAGAGATACAAAACACATGAAGATTGTAAAAGTTGTATGTGAATAGCGAAACTACATTTCAGTGCCAACATTTCAAAGGGGCGTAATTGCTTTTGTTAACAATGGCTTTAGCTATCGATTTCTCGCAAATAAAAGTCCATCCCCCAAATTAACAGTGCTAGCTGGTAACGGAAACATTCATCTACCTGCTTATGTTAATAATCTTCATGAGTAAGTTTTAATTCACGAGAAATCGACGGCTAAAGTCATTGTTTATAAATACAATTACGCCCCTTTGAAATGTTGACACTGATTTTATTATTATTTCACATTATTTCTTCTTACCTGATGTTTTCTGAAATCTGAAGACAATTTCCGAAAAGACAGCTTGTTTTTGTTATTAATGTGAAACGTCAAACCTGGGATGCAGGGTTGCCAAATATTCAGCGAATAATAATTGTTGTTAGTTCACAGTACTCAGATTGATTCGATCTCTCTGCGTGGGAAAGCGTTTAGGTACGACCATTTTTTTTCTGGCAACAGTCCCATTTATTTCGGTAGAGTGTATTATGTTACACGCATGCAAAAGAACGTAAGAATACTATCAGAAATACTTATGAATTTTAGCAACAAGAAATATGTATGAATTTCATTGATTTGCCTTATGAAAAGTAATGTTGACAAAAAATAATAAATCGGAGCAGACTGGAACCGAACCATGGACGCTGAGATTACGGAGCTCTTGTGTTGACCACTCGTCTTTCAACGCTTGAAAAATTGGAATGGCTAAAGGCGTATACGTATGCGTGTATAAGAGCTACTTTATATTAGACGAAAATCTTTCATAAGTCGCGCTTATGAAATTCATATTTGTCGTTAATAAGTCGAATCTTATTAAATTCTTAAGTCTATTTGCCTCAGTGTATGTTCGCCAGTGTTAAGGGCCACCCACATTAGATCCGTTTGCGTTGCGTTGACGTAAATTTGACAGTTAGACAATAGATTTAGCAGTCACTTTCCGCAACGCGTCATATCCGGATCTAATCTGGGTGGTCCCTTAATGAATCACTGAACTGTACGAACATATCTCCACGAATTTGAGGAATCAAGTGAACCAATTGTTTATCAATAGAGAGCTGAGAAAAATGCGTCTTAAGATTACTTCCAACCATTGATTTCTATGAAATAGAATAACCTATTCGTCAAAATTTTCAAACATTTTCTAAACAAAGTTTAGTTTATCCAGAAGTATGGAAAATATGATGTATGATCACCATATTATTGACAGCAAAACACTGTTGTCTTTCGGCATTTCGGAAAGTTAACCCTGCAGATACAATCTTTTTTTTCAAAATACCTCGTAGAATACCACAAACCTAAACTTTCGATTTCAGTGGTGACTCACGACCATGCTGTCTTCACTTTTCCTATCGCGGATGTTTACCGTAAACGTCATAAGCAAATCACGTGATAACAAAAATAATTCGTCTGCCACCTAGCAGCACGTACGCTACTGCTGTATAGCCAACCGATTCAAACCTGTTCGGTAGATAATGAATGGTTGTTTAATAAGGGATTATACATGGCTGTCAATACAGGTCACATATAGTTTCAACATGATTTAAATCGTTCAGAGCGTATAGATGCTTACAATTAACAAGATCCACCGTTTTTAAAATACAACTTTTCGTATGCTACCATCCAGTTCAACACATCGGTATCTAAAATATTCACTAAGCCGTTCCCAAAATTACCATGTTGTGGCTGCAGCTGTGAAACGTTCAGCAATCTTTCCTTTTGAGGATTCTGCATGCACATTAGGGTGCCAATGATTTTTTTTTTCAACGGATCATATACAAAATGTTTATTGCCTCAAAAAAAGACCTTATGCAAAATGTGGGCTCAATCGGACTTGATTTAGAAGTGACTCAAAGCGATCAAAGTTTGATCTTTTTTCATCTGAAAAATATCCCAAGGTAAGGGGAATCCGTAAATTATGGAAATCGAAAATTTGCTACGTCAAGAGTCTTAAAATTACATGTAACGTCCAAAACTAGTGTTAACTCGAGAACCAATTTTTGTCAAAAATTGACTTTCTGAATTGTTTGTGTTCATGCCGAATGACTTAGAAATGCATGAAACATCGAGATCTAGTGTCAACTCTTTTTTTTTTGGCTAAAATCAACTTTTTGGGACTTGGATTTTTTTTAATTGGGAGACATTTGGCATAACAAATATTTCGATTTCTAAAATTTCACATACCCCTTACCACAAATGAAATTAGTTCCAACTTTGAACCCCTTTGCTGCTTCCCTAAATCAATTCCGATTGAGTCCAAATTTTGCATATGGTCTTTTTTGAGGCCATGAACACTTAAATTTCCAACAGCCGAGTAGTTCTGCAATTTATTTTGCTGATATTCAGTCAAACAATTGCCGAGACTCAGCTAACAAATAACATTTTGCTGAGATATCAGTTAACAAACAGATATTTTGCAGAGATATCAGCAAAAGTGAATGCCGAAGTAATCGGCTGTTGGAGATTTTACCGAGCGAGATTAAGTGTGTATATGTTGTTCGATGTTTTTTTTTCATTGGCACCCTAATGCACATATGCACGTACTCAGATGGTGCTATATACCATTAGGGTAAACGCACCAATAGTGGAGGTACGCTAGTGTAATGTGTTCCTATAATGGCTTACACACTTAATTTTTTTCGCCGAGATTCCAACAGCCGAGTAGTTCTGCAATTTATTTTGCTTAGATTCAGTAAAACAATTGCCGAGACTCAGCTAACAAATAACTATTTGCTGAAATATCAGCTAACAAACAGATATTTTGCAGAGATACCAGCAAAAGTAAATGCCGAGGTAATCGGCTGTTGGAGATTTTACCGAGCTAGATTAAGTGTGTATGGAACACATTGCACTAGCGTACCTCAACTATTGGTGCGTTTACCCTATTATGGACCAGGAGAAAAATTAAAATTCTTGACTAAACCTGACCTCGGCTCCTATTATGCTTATGTTATTAGAATTAAGGAAAAATGTGTTTACGGTTGAAAACCGAAATAACCCACTAGTGACAATCAGGGGTTGAAGCGGTCGATTTTTTTTACTACACTCGTTTCGTTGTCATGCGCGACAGTCTGTTTGTATTCGTACTCTCATGTGCTACCGTCGTCTCTCTTACACAATACAAACGGTAGAACAACATTCGAGCAAAAAAAATTATCAAATAACTATCATATTACATGTGTGATTTTGTTCTAATTCCTCAATTTGGTGTAAATTAAACCATTTCTGATCAGAAATGTTATTACTATGACATCGTTGTTTACTATTTTCAGAATTCACACAAGCACAACATCAGCAGCTCTTATTATGAGAAAAACTAAAATACATACATTCGCAACAGAGCCTGTCATATGACATTTTAGTTTGGTACTGTAATTTGATAGCTTGTTTTGCAAGTGTCGGAAGCAAAGGCAGTCGATTATCACAGAAAATTTGTCGACTACGGTGATTGCTTACTAGACTGGTGACAATCGATTTTACTCTCGTTCTCGTTCAAAAAAGAGAGGTAAAACGCGGGTTGTGCTTAGTAGGACGGAAACTAGATCAAAAACCCTACACAGCAAAAAAATAATTTTGATATCACGTCAAAGTGGATGCACTACAATCATGTCGAAAATATGGTGTAATATTACTTGATAAAAAGGACAAAATTATCATTAATACAATGCATGAACTGACATTACGCTGCTTTTACTGCATTTGTTTATTTATGTGGTCATAAAAATTACATGAAATTTTCGACATGATTGTAGTGCATCCACTTTGATGTGATATCAAAATTATTTTTTTGCTGTGTACGTTAACCAAAGTGTTGGAAGTAGTGCGCTGTAATCGCACAATGATGCGCTATGGGGTGATGCATATATTATGTCACGCTCTAAGTGGGGAAGGGGGTTTAAGATTTTATGACTAGCAATGCACGTTTCCAGTGACGATTTTGAACGGCCAAGATTTGGCACCAAGGTAAAATATTTTAGGGCAAAATTATCTGTGCAACGAAAGCTACAATCACCACTCGGTATCAGTAACACAAACATCCCGTTAGAAACAATCATTTCAACAATTTTATAACGTCGACAAATCTGGTGCAAGCCAGTCAAGATTGTACGTTGGGAATGATCACAATTCATCAGGCCATTGTTGGATTGTCGATAGTCTGGTTGATAAGAGCGTAAAGAGGAGCGATATGAAAGCAAATATGTTCTAATTAGTAGCTTGGAATCGGAAAGGTGCCCAACCATCAGAGATATGCTCCGGATTTTTCTTGAATGGCATTCCTAGGGGCACGCAATAACTTTTAACTCCGACGCAGGCAAGAGCTGTAATAAAATTAATTCCATTAATTACAGCTTCAACTACTTTAATTACACCCGTTAACTACTGTTTAAGTCCATTAATTGGAATCGTTTATCTGGATCCTGAAAAATCACCAGAACTTGTTCCGATGGGTATGGGTCTTCAGACTAGAAGCGATCTAAAACGTTACAAGTCCATCATACGACGCTTCAAATTACAATACAAAAAATAAGATACATGGTAGTTATACTGAGAACCCGCGCCACATTGCACTATGGGCCCAGGAGTGCAATCTTGTGAGACAAAATTATTAGCTCCAAAACGAAGCATTTCCGTGACTTGCTGTCTTGAGCAAAGTATCACAAAATAATTAGGACCAACTATTGGAATTAACAGATAGTTCGATACGCAACCACATAGATGGCGCTAAAATCTTACTTGTTACTTAACGTTTTAGACAAAGTTGTTCATCTTAACAGAATAAACGACTCTTCTATAGACGACAAACCTCCACAGCCCAATATTTTTGAGTTATTTGGAAAACAAGAAATCTAGATAGAGCTGGAATTAGGGCGTAACAGCCTTTGTAAACAATGACTTTTATCGATGATTTCTATGAACTCAAGGCATGCCCACACAAACCATCATAACCGTCGGGTAGGGGAAGTCGTCCCCTACCCGATGGTGTTGTTGTTTTGCGCTTGCAAGTCTTAAATTTCTAGAAATCATCGGAAGAAGTCATTGTTTACAAAAGCTGTTACGCCCTAATTCCAGCTCTATCTAGAAATGTTTGTTGAAAAAACTGTTTTCCCATCTACTGTATGCGTGATAATGTTTGCACCATTGAGCGAAGTCAAAATTTAAAAAAATCTCAAAAATTTCGTTTTTGAGTTTTTTTATTTATTTATCGGGGGATGTTTCTCAGAGTCTTAAACTATGTTAATCATCGATCGAATTTCCACTTGCTGCAATTACGGCCTCCACACGCTTCCGGAATGCACGGCAGGTTCTAATAATGTAGTCTTGATCCATTTCTCTCCAGGTACGGGTCAATGTTTGTCTGAAGCTTGCTGTACTAAGGAGGCGTTTAGAAACAGGCCTTGGCCTTCATGACGCGCCATATTGAGTAATCCAGCGGATTAAGATCGGGGCTGAATGGCGGCCACATATCCTTCGCCCAGAACAGAAGATGTTCATGCAACCACTTCTGAGTGCGGTTCGAGGTGTGGCACGGAGCCCTATCTTGTTGAAATACAACATTTGGCTTCGGACCGTACTGTTCTTTGATCCACGGAACAACATACTTACTTAAAATCCCGATGTAGACGTCCGTGTTGACCTTGTCGCCTTCTGGAATGAACACCGGGTCCATTTTTTTGCCATCGGAAGCCACCAATCCAAACACCATAACGCTAGCAGGATGCTTGGTCAGATACACGTTCTTGTGCTCGTCGGCCACGTTTTTTACCGGAAGAGAACTAATATACCGGTCGGTTCTGGAATTTGAAACGGGATCGACGGTAAACATGCTCTTGTCAGTGAACAGGATTACCGGATTTTTTCGCTTAAGGAAGTTCAAGATTTTCTTGCATCGTTCGACTCGTAGCTCCCGGATGCGGTTGGTGTGAGTTTTTTTCCGTGCCCTCGACTTCGCCCCGCAATCTTCCTTTACGATCTTCCGTGCCGTAAAGTCACTGATCCCGTGTTCCTTTGCCATTTTCCTAATTTAACGCACTGGATTCACCCGAATCTTCTTTTTGATAGCAGAGATAACCACCGGAACTCGAGCTGACCTCGAACGACCTGTGGCCACTTTCGCGGATAGTTGTCCTTTCTTTTCTCGGTCTAAAACCCTTTTGACGGTCCACCGGGACACTCCCACGGCGATTGAAATGTCTTTTTGCGACATATGCGCGTAGGACAAATCACGAATACGCTGCCACTTCGTCATGGTGCAACTGTCAAACTAAGTAAATCATTTTCTTTTATACACAGCCTACTACGGTATGAGCTATAGGCTACGTACATGCAAAGAAAACCAAGGCATTGTATGCACAGGTGAAACGGGAACCTTATTTGTACGATGGTGCAAACAATATCAAGTATACGGTATTTGGATACACTAAACGCAGAACGTTTGCAAAGAAATAAACTAGTTTCAACCAAACATGTTGAAGAAAAGGCTGAAAACATGAACAAAATACAAAATTGAAATTTTAATATCTCGCAAACTGAAATTTTCTTGAAAAATTAAACAAGTTGTTAACCTGATTGAAATACACGAAAAAGAAGCAAAAATAGGACAAAACATGAATTTTTCTGGAATCCAACTTGCTGCAAAAGATTGATAGCTACAAATTTTCAGGAAAACAAACGTAAACATTGAGGCAAAACAGACAATGCCAAAAACTAGCGAGTGAAACATAGGAGTGAAATGGCTTCTGTGAATGCAGCCGGGTGAATTACCTCGGGCGATACAAGACGCTATAAATCAAAAGGGCGCGTAAAAAATTTCCATTTTGTTCACGCTGTAAATTAATATGAACGTTTTTTTTATTTATCTCACACTAATGCTAACCATGAATCACAATATTTAAAAACATTCCAGTTTATGAAATGGGTTTATAGTTTATTTTATATTTGTTCTTGTTCAAAACTTCAGATTCATTTTTCTCAGTTCAAGCTCTTAGCGACAGTGGGCCTTATTACAGCTCTATCTACACACTTAAAAATAATTGCTTTTACACGAGACGTAATCCAAATTGGACGTAAGTCGTGGAACGAAAACAAACTTTTAATATAAAATTAAGTCTTCTCAAATCGAAACATAAGCAACTCGACGAAGAGAACGTTTGATTGAATTGATTTTCTCGTTTCTTTCATCTGATTCTTATGTCAAAAGGGCCGTTTACATGTGTCGGCCTCAGGGAACCGAAATTCACATTCACTTTTTCGTAGTGTGTAGATTTATAAATAATTATTAAAATAGCTCAATTTTGCTGGTATTACAGTCATGTGGTGTACTGCATTTATTTCCAATCCTTATAATTGAATCAAAATAAAAATCATCATTTAATAAAATGTATGCATCATAAAATTTCCCAACCTATACTGAATTAATTGATTGCAGTGCCCCGCCCCAGCACGCGTTCGTAGACATGTACTTAGTTGCTATGTGATAACCGCAGCGAGGGTAAATATACACTTACTCAGAACGATTTCCGTTGAGTAAACATCAGTCCTGAAATTCGAGCTCAGGTATTCTGATAGCTTCTGGAATACCTCAATCCCACTGTTATTAGAAATATTCTATGACTGGGCAAAACGATGCAGGGAGGAAAATGAGTTAAACCTTGGGATAGGAACCAAAGCAGAAGGCAAACCTGATAAGATATGATTGTTGAAATACAAATTGAACCAAGCAATTTATAACCTGCACAACAATCGTCACAATTAAATGTCATCACATTGTAAACCAGACGGCTACCCACACACA